GGAGCTAAACGCGCTGTACAGCGTGTTGCGCGAAGCACGATGACGGGTAGCGGCAGGAAGAAAAAGACAAAGAAGAAGAGTGGCACTCGAAAAATGACAGGTAGCGGCAAAAAAAGGTCGACAAATCGTATAAAAGCCGGTAGTAGTTCGAAACGGGGTCAGTCGAGGTCACGGCGTCAGCCTGCAAAGAAGAAGGCGCAGCAGCGCCAACCCTTGCGCCTTCGAGCTCGAAGGCTAGCGTTTACTCCGGACATTTTTGGTTAATTAGCACTAAAAATGGCAAAAAGAGTCAAAATGACAAATAGTGCACAGCCTTCGACAGTCGGCATGATGCAACGGCTTCCCTTTGAGCTTCAAATTTTCGAAGAGAAAATGCCCGAAGACAGATCGATAATATCTAGCGAGTATGTGACAGTTAGTTGCATAAATAGCCTAGGCAACCCAAACGTGCAATCTTTCGATTTTGTTCACTCGGCGAGCCCTCATCAGATGCGCGACCTTCGTCAAGTTTACCTACAGGCACGCGCCCGTATTACTAATGTCGATGGCTCTCCCACACCTGTGAGCACTCCCGCTGCATCTGGAACGACCGCTGTGACGGCTCCAAGATGGGCCTTGGTCAACAATGGTCTTCATTCTTGCATCTCCAGCGTCGCTGTCTATTTAAACGGAGTTGACGTTAATTTAACTTCGGATTTCTATGCATACAGTGCCCTTATTCAGACTTTTCTTGGGTTTAGTAATATGAGTGCATTTGAGCGGCTTGCACCTGAACTCTCCACACCCAGCTTCGAGTCTAGTCACTATCCCAGTGATACAGTCACAGATAAATGGCCCGCAAATCTGGCAGATAATCCTGGTCTTAAATGGCGCTACGAGCAGACAAAAGACGGGCAAGTTGTCGAACTGTTTGCAAAACTTCACCTCGATATTAGCTCACTAGAAAAGCTTATCCCTTCAAGCGTAGATTTCCGCCTAAAAATTTCCCTAAATGACCCCGAGTTTTACCTTATAACTGACACTCCGGCGACCGCCAAGGCGCGCCTTGTGTTTGATGAAGCAAATTTAATAACCAAGCTAGTCGAAGTCAGTCCAACAATTAGCCTGGCGCACGAAAGAGCTTTCCAATTTAACACTATGCAATCTCATTTCCAGCGCACACATTTAAAAGAGTTTGTCGTCAGTGCAAATCTGCGAAGCTTTAAAATAAGCAACGTCTGGACGGGGCCGCTGCCGCGTCTTGTTATTTTTGGAATGTGCGATCAAATTTCTACTTCGGGTAGCTTTGAGAGAGATCCCACGTTTTTTAAGCACTATGGACTATCATCTGCTATTCTGAACTGCAACGGCAAACGGACGATAATAGACGGTCTCAAATTCTCGGCAGATCACAACATTTATGCAAACGCCTATGTCAGACTGTTAATGGCACTCAATATGCACC